GGACAGGAAGCTATTTGCTGGCCCGAATCCCAAGTGGCACTGAGGTAAGACCCCCCACACTAAATTACACAGAACATAATCCCACCCACACACTTTTTCCCAACTAATCCCATGCATCTATCCCCACACTCCTACATGTGCCCTTGTCCACTTAGCTGTGCTATCTCCCCAGGACATAAACAATTAGAATGTTTACAACTGCGCTGTAACCACAGTATTTGACGCTTCTATTTGACTCTCAGATATGAAGTGCAGGCCACAAATGTACTATTTAGCAGTTTAGCACCAAAACAATTAGAATGTTTACAATTGCGCTGTAAGCGCACTGTAAGACCTGTAAGAACTATTTGACTCTGTACTATTTTGACTCTCAGATATCAAGAGCATGCCCAAAATGTATTATTCATCAGTTTAGCTCCAAAACAATAAGAATGTTTACAATTGCGCTGTAAGCGCACTATAAGATGCTTCTATTTGATTCTCAGATATGAAGTGCAGGACGCAAATGTACTATTTAGCAGTTTAGCACCCAGAAAATAAGAATGTTTACAACTGTGCTGTAAGCGCACTATTTGACACTTCTATTTGACTCTCAGATATGAAGAGCTTGCCCAAAATGTACTGTTTAGCACCAAAACAAAAAGAATGTTTACAATTGCGCTGTAAGAGCACTATTTGACGCTTCTATTTGACTCTCAGATATGAAGAGCAGGCCCTATAATGTACTATTTAGCAGTTAAGCACCAAAAAAATAGAATGTTTACAACAGCGCTGTAAGCGCACTATTACACGCTTCTATTTGACTCTCAGATATGAAGAGCAGGCCCTATAATGTACTATTTAGCAGTTAAGCACCAAAACAATAAGAATGTTTACAATTGCGCTGTAAGCGCACTGTAAGATGCTTCTATTTGACTTTCAGATTTGAAGAGCACACCCAAAATGTATTATTTAGCAGTTTAGCACCAAAACAATTAGAATGTTTACAATTGCGCTGTAATCGCTGTATTTGACGCTTCTGTTTGACTCTCAGCTATGAAGTGCAGGCCGCAAATGTACTATTAGGCAGTTTAGCACCAAAAAAATTAGAATGTTTACAACAGCGCTGTAAGCGCAATATTTGATGCTTCTATTTGACTCTCAGATATGAAGTGCAGGCCGCAAATGTACTATTTAGCTGTTTAGCACCAAAACAAAAAGAATGTTTACAATTGCGCTGTAAGAGCACTATTTGACGCTTCTATTTGACTCTCAGATATGAAGTGCACCCCACTAAAATACTATTTAGCAGTTTAGCATCCAAAAAATGATAGATTTTAAAACTGCAACATGACAACAGTATTTGACGCTTCTATTTGACTCTCAGATATGAAGAGCATGCCCCAAATTTACTATTTAGCAGTTTAGCACCAAAAATGTTTTACTTTTTAAAACTCCAATGTAACCACAGTATTTGATGTTTCTATTTAATTGACTTTTTAAAACTCTGATATAACCGCAGTATTTGACGCTTCTATTTGACTCTCAGATATGAAGTGAACCCCACTAATGTACTAGTTTGTAGAATTATTTCCTAAGCTGTCCCTCACAGATGCAGCATCCTCTCCCTACACTTATAAGTCCTCATGTGCGTGCGGCGCTACGTGACCCCAGCTTATATATCGAGGCTGGGTCACATGCTGCACTGGCCAGTCACAGCCACGCCATTAGTAGGCATGACTGTGATGGCTTCTAAGGGCACACAAGTCAAACGCTTGTTAATTGGCTGCCGTGCAGCCTTTCAAAACGCGCCATTAAATCGCTGAATACCGAACTCCAACCTGAACATACAGTTTAGTTTAACCATGCATTCGTATATTAATGTTATAAAAAGGATTTCCTCGATTTTTTCCCTTCTAATGTAATTGAGGGGATTTGCCCTTCTTTATCAGGGCATTCAACTGTGAACTGAGCATGTCCAAGGTGTTCTGAAGGTGGGGCGAGCGAGAGTTGTGGTGTCACTTCCAGGGTTATGCACATGTCAGTACACATACTGTGGGCAGCAGGAAAGCTCATTGGTACAGCCTTAGGCACAGGAACAGCAGGCAAAATGGCACCCGAGGCTAGAATAGGAAGGGACTTTGCCTATAACACATTCTTATTGGAATATACATTCATCACGTGATCGTGCCGGATTAAGGCACGCTCACATAAATCTAGAGATTGGAAATAAGAATTTTAGAATGCTAACTGAGGAAGCCATATAAGCAAAATACATTGTTGCAGCTACCAAAGATTGGACTTTATATTATTTACTTAATTGCTTCTTTATCTTGGTATTTTTTATTTATTTATAATTTTGGTTACAATAAACTTGATTTGAATACACCAGAAGAGGCTTTTGATCTTCAGACACCTACCAAATTGCTTTGGGGAGTGTCATCCCACAACAATGGCACAAGTTCCTATACCTTAGAGCTTGAAGTGGAAAGGCTCTAATTAAGGTGAGCACTATCTGAAAATTGATAAACATGAGATTCATCTGACGTATTGCACTAGCTATTGTCTATATTTTATGAAAGGAGATGCCACTTGATGAAAGAAAGAGTGCTACTTGAGAAGGCACATATAAAGTGAGTCTCTATTTTTAGGCTCATGTTCATGTGAGTTTTCGTATTGCTATTTTTCTTTGCTGCACTTTAGAACATGCAATCTGCACTATATATTACTTGTATTCCTTTTCCTTTTACATATATTGTGGACTTTACTCCTTGTGAATTACATGTGCAAGAGGGTAAGATATCTCCCTTTTGTTTTCTGTCAGCGCTCCACTTTTAGTTTATATGTGTTTTAACTTTTAATGCACTATTATGAGTTTTTACACTTGTAACTGATTTTTTTTAGCATATCTACGAAATGTTTAAACCTAGCTCCTGTACAGCCCTTGCTGCCCAGTCACTGGAAAAGGGACATAGTCCCCCCATGGGCAATTGGTGGTGGCTTCTATAAATACTGATTTCCCACCCTGGCCAAACAAATGGGCAATAGAAGGGGTCCTAATGTTAATAATAAAGGGTGGGATAAGGGGACCTTGTGTTTCCCCCTCAGCCCCAACTATGGGTGATAGGTAGTGTCTGTTTTACAGCCTCCAAAAAGGCCATAACTAGAGCTGAGCGAACCCGGACTGTAAAATTCGGGTTCGTACCGAACATTACGTTTTTTGGATCTCCGGACCCGAACACGGACATATCAGTGTATGTTCAGGTTGGAGTTCGGTGTTCGGCAATTTAATGGCGCGTTTTGAAAGGCTGCAGGGCAGCTAATCAACAAGCGTTTGACTCTTGTGCCCTTAGAAGCCATCACAGCCATGCCTACTAATGGCATGGCTGTGATTGGCCAGTGCAGCATGTGACCCAGCCTCGATATATAAGCTGGGGTCACGTAGCGCCGCACGCACATGAGGACTTATAAGTGTAGGGAGAGGATGCTGCATCTGTGAGGGACAGCTTAGGAAATAATTCTACAAACTAGTACATTAGTGGGGTGCACTTCATATCTGAGAGTTAAATAGAAGCGTCAAATACTGTGGTTACATCAGAGTTTTAAAAAGTCCATTTTTTTTTGCTGCTACCTTCGCCGAGACGTTATGCTGGCTACTGCTCTGTCTGTAGATGCCCCATGGTTATTCACTATTTGGATGACTTCTTAACAATTGAGAGTAACTTATTCCCACCTAGTAGCCTGAGAACCATGATCTAGCTATTCCAATACCTGGGGGTCTCCGTCTCCCCTAAAAAGACAGAAGGACCCGACACATTGATTAATTTCCTTGGTATCAAGCTAGATTCGGTCAACATGCTTGCCAGTTTGCCTAGAGATAAGATTGAGCACATCCTATCCAACACTGGAATTATTAAGGATAGCCTTAAGTATTTGATTTTAGATAATTTTTGTCAAATGTTAAATTGTCGATAGTTGGATCATTTGTGTCATTCGATAATATTTAGACACCTTTTATTTTCAATCCCATCACAGACAAAATGGAAGGTTTATAAAAACTTGTTATAAAACAAACATATACCTGCTACTCATGTGTCCCTCATAACAACGTAATGACTAGAAATGTGACATGCATAATCATTTTCACATTTTTTAAAAAAAATTCTTTATTTTTGCAGTGCACATGAATATAACAAACGTGCATGGGGTACCCCAACGGCAATCCTCATGCTTTTTTTCAAACATTTGTAACATTGAGGTATCATTAGTACTTGCACATTTTTTTAGTTAGGAAGAGGTTTAGTAAGATTATTATAGGCTAGTTATGATATAAAGCAGGACATTGAAATTGCAAGGCATTCAATTAAACTAAACTGCACCATAGTTAAGCAGGATGTAGAGTGCAGGCTGAGAAGTGCATGTCTAGTCAAATTATAAGTGGAGGGATGCAAGACAGGACCCATTCTCCGACATGGTATCCGATTCAACAATAGGCAAAAACATGCACCATATGCGTCAACCTGGTATCTTCTATGATGTATGTCAAAATGGGCTTAATGTAAAGGAACATCCCCATAGTGGTGGCCGATTATTGCACAGTGCACTGCACATTTTTTAAAAAAACTACAGTGTGTCATCTGAGGCTTCTATTCCTACTAAAGTATGCGACAATACTACAGGTATGTTGCCTTTCAGGTGCAAGACATGCCTGCTATAATATACTGCAGCTTTAACTAGCTACCCTAGGGTTTATAGGACACTGTAAATGTTATGTGTAACAGGTTATTAATTACCACTGGGCATGGGATGAGGCAAAGAAAAGAAAATAAGCAAGTCAAAAAGAAAAAAATAACAGCTCAGAATTTAAACAACATAAGGTCGAAGGGAGAAGCCTAAATTTTTGATAGCCCAGGTGATGTCAGGCTGAGTCCCCCAATGTCACATCGAGGCCTTGAACAAGAGTCGAGCTTCATGTCCTGTCATAGCGTAGGTATTACATCGGATTGTCACATCAAGGAAGGCTAGGCTATACATTGCAACTTATCTGGATGCGTGCGGAGGGTGAGTGTCAGAACCTTGGGTTTCTGCCAACGGTGACAATGTCCCATGATGTTAAGATGTAGAGGCAGGTTTCCAGCACTATGCCTACACTGGACTTGCCAGTGGGTGATTCGCTTGCTTTGTGAGGAGCTGCCCGGCCACAGAGAGCATGAGAGACGACTCAGGGGTGACTGTGGTATTCTCTTCGTGTAGCTCCGTGCAGACGCTTGTACAATGGGGCTCGGCACTCCACGGCTGTAACGGGCAGGACATCTGTCCACAATTCGCTTCCTCGGTTGGTATTGCAGTTTCCGTGGCTGATGCAGTCGAGGTATGAGCCAACTTGAGGGTACCGCCAGTATGAGGTGGAGGTGCACTTTGCCGAATTGACTGAGGCAGGGTAGGCCTTTTGAGTCTCCACCGGAGCTTCCTTGCGACAGGTGGGCCAAGGCCAAGAGCCTGCAAACTGTCTGTCTGTTTTTCTCAGGGTTGAGGGCATCCACCATTGTGTAGGAGGCAGGTGGGCTGCAGCCTAGAGGCCGCTGGAAGGCCGTCACTGCAGCTCTCGTCGCGGTTAGATCTTTAGTTGGGGTTACTGCCTTCCTCTTCTAGGCTACCCGCGTCGGGTTCTGCGGCAGATCATTGGGTAGAGTCTCTGATACTGGTGGTCGCATGCGGGAACCTATCCACTCCCCGCCCCCACCACTGCACGGTGGGTGGGGGCCCTAAATACGGACCCAAACACGGACATATCACTGTATGTTCGGTTTGGAGTTCGGAGTTCAGCAATTTAATTACGCATTTTGAAAGGCTGCAGCCAATCAACAAGCATTTGACTCGTGTGCCCTTAGAAGCCATCACAGCCATGCCTACTAATGGCATGGCTGTGATTGGCCAGTGCAGCAAGTGACCCAGCCTCTATAGAAGACTATAGAATTAGTGTTACGATTGCCCCCAGTCTAGCAGGAGGGTTGATCGCTTGGATGTCCTGGTCCCCGCTGTAGAGAGTCGAATGGAGGTCTTTCGGTAGTAAGCTGCAAGTGTAGAATATCCCCAAGCAAGATATAAGCATCAATATCCCGGATCCCTACAACATGAGTCGAGGCTGCAAGTTGAGGGTCAAAACGAACTGGCTTTACTGGCACATAGCATGGCAATTTATGTGATTCCTCAGGTCCAAGGACAGCCCCCTTTGGACCTGATGGAATACAGGTACAGTACAGACAAATATCCAATCACAATACAGTGTATTATTTGAATTAGTACCGGCCCAGCTTGGAGATAATGAGGCCAACGGTTCTACAATCTAATTATCTCCAAGCGCACAAAAGACCACGTTTTATTCTGTCCCTGAAAACTGCATAAAAATCCATAACTTTAACATTAATAAAGGAAAAAAGTTCATTCTACCATTCATCTAATGGCTCGCGTTCGTATACAGTAACCATACGAATGGCGCTCCAATCCCACGAACAGAATGGGCTATTTCTGCCGTATAAAGTCCGTTCGGCACTTTGGATTGTGAGTCTCTGTTGGCGGCCATGTTTTCTGACGGTTTAGCGGGCCGCGGGACCTCTCTTCAAACTCATGGAACTAAACTCGGGTATCAGTTCATGCAAAGCCCCGCTGTCTGTCTGGTGGTGGAACTCGTTCAGTACATGAACGAGGACCACCTGGTAGAAGTGTACTTTACCTGCGGTTAACCGCAGAAACCACAGGTTAATGATCGCCACGGTTCGGTAGATTCCCTTCGGTACTTTGGGTGTGAACATCAATTCCCCCAGGCCTATCAATTAGGTTGTGGTTAACCGCACACCTCAGCCGCCTGGGTTGTTAATGGCTGCCACACGCCGTAGTTTGCGGGGTGACGAGGTTAAGTGGCGGCACACGCCAGCATCTGGGGGGTCCCTCGTTCGCACCACGAATGGAGTCTTTATAAGGGTTCGAGTAATCCATTCGTGTTTCCTTCGGCTTAAACATATACAGTGGCAACAGTATCAATCGGTTTTTAAACAGTAACATCGTCATTTCCAGTCTTTTGTAACACTTAGTATTAGTAAATTATGCCCCTACTCGCTATACCGCCTGTGGCTGCTCACTTTTAAAAAAAATATATAAAATTCCCCTCTACGGAGCCCCCACCCGCGACGCGCGAGTGGGGGTTTGTAAACAAAAGGGGGGCCTATTGCCCTCCCTGACCCCACCCCTTAGCGGCAGGTGGGGACCCTAAATACCAATACCTATTGTGTGTCCCCGGCCCCCACCCCTGAGCGGTGGGTGGGGGCCCTAAATAACAATAGGGGGGTCTACTGTTCTCCACCTGGCCCAAATTCCAAAGAACTTTCCCGCTGTGTAAAATGACACAGAGCACTCTGATTGGTGGATTTCAAGCCAAGATTTAAGAAGGTCATCAAATCCCTGGGTAGAATATTCATGGCTGGATCCTGAAAGGAGAAGCATGTCAAAGTCATAAATTGCCTTTTGTAATTCAGGTTTCTGAGGTGCATTGCTGGTGGTGATTGTTTTGGAGCATCTGGGTACTAGACTAGTATTGGTAGCAGGTATTCCTTTAACATCATTGGTTGCCATAAGGACACTGGCACCCTTGGTCTTGGTATTTGTCTTTGCATGTAATGTATGTAATGATAATTGTTCTGATATTTCTTTATAGAAAAAAAAAACCTTTGTTAGGTCTAAAGAGTTATTGGAATCAGAAAAATATTTATAGCAATTCCTACATTGGTATTTAAAATAATATTGTCCTGGTATAATTTCTATAAAAGTTAAGGTTGTTCTTTTATGCAAAATCTCTCTAGATCTTTTTGGTATAGTTGATAATTGAAAACAAGTAAAAATGAATTTATTCATGTTTCTTTGCCCTGTGAGGGAGAAAATAAATTATTCTCCAAGTTACAATTAGTAAAAATGTAATAATTATAGTTATCACTATTGGTTTCAAACACCAAAAAGGACTAAATCCTGGCCCTAATATCCCTTTAACAATATTTGCCAAAGATTCAACTATGCTTTGAACAGTTTTACCAATTAAAGGTAAAATAGGAGTCAATATCTTACCAAGTTCTTTCAGCCAGTATGGGAAATCTCTCTCGTGGTCCTGAATATTGAGAAGAGAAAGCCTAACCTTTATTAATATGCTGTCCACTTGCTTCTGGGTGGAGCTTAAAGTGATTTTGAATTGTTGTAAGTGAGCCAAGAAAGCACTCATATATGGAAGTTTTAAAGATATTGGGGGTATATATATTTTAACTATATCTGTTAGTTTATAATTTTGCAAAGGAGGTTTTAATAATCTTCCATAACAGTAAATGTCATAATCCGTGGTTACAATTAATGGCTGTAAAACAGGTAACTTGCAGTCTGAATAAGGACTCATAATTAAATAAGAACCATTTCTTAAAGATTCAAAGTACAGATAATCATTTTGTATTGGTTCTATATTAAGTACGCAATCAGAAGATGTGGCAGGATTATTTCCACAATGAGTCTGTACTTTTAAATCTTCACATATTGCATTACGTTTTTCTTGGCATCTAGAAACAGACAAATAATATATTTGATCACATGTATTTGATATATATTGATATGGATGTTGTATTGTTATTTTTGCCAACTTTTCACCTGTTTGTAACAGGTGACCTATATTATCAAGCTTCCAATTCATAGTGTATATTTGACCTGGAAGAGTTATTTCATAATAGATTTTAACTTCCCACTGGCTATCCTTGGCATTGTTTAAATGTTTTGTTTCTCTGATATCATAAACAAAGGTCTCTGAAATGTGCGATAACACTTCAATCTGTTTCTTAGTTAATTTTAACCTGAAGCACTTTAGTTATGTTAACCAGACTTGTATCAATTAAACCATTTTGTAAATTTGATCGAATATCAAAAATCTTCTGATTTATTTATTTATTTTCACACTTTCTTCTAGTGTAGAAATATCATATATTAATGCAGCAGTAAGCGTTGGTCTTTAAGGTGGTCTTTAAGAATCAATATACCTTGATGTAGCACTTCATCATTTAGATCAGAATAATGGGATACAACCTGAATAACTTCTACAAGTAATTTTCCAGTGTAACGGACCGTTTTGCACAAAAGGGGTAAAAAACGTTTAGGCGATCGGCCCCCTTTCCAGAGATGCAGGCACAGCTACTGCAGAACACCAAACACACGAACCGCCAATAAGTGAATGCTCCAAACTCCCGAACGGCATCCAATATAGCACTCCAAACAGACGAACAGGAAAAGCATCGAAGCGGCTTACACTCCTAGCAATCAGTCTCTATCAGCATACAGTAAATCCCCCCCAAAGACGAGACAAGGCTCCGTGTTGAGGGTCAAGCAGTGGTCTGTATAATGAGGGCTACCTGCCCAGTATTTATGCAGGTCTCCCACCTGGTGGACACTCCCCTAATAAGCAGACAAATAGGACACACAGTCACAATATATTCCCACAATGCATCCTGGCTTCCTCCCCTCTGCCCTGGGAGATAACTGAGAAGTAATTCAATTATATCCCAAGACAAAGGCAAATCGCTATTATGCACGTGGGGATACTAAAACAAGCATTACTGTTAAAATACACCAGGTAAGACACATTACATTAAAACTATACATTTAACATATCCCCAGATAGCTCAGGTCTGAGCGCACATTATTAAGCGAATGGCACTCAGACCACACGAATACAGTTTAATCGCCATGGAGTCAAAGTCTTTAATTCCAAGAACAGGCTCCATGGCTTGCTATCTGGGTACTTGCACACCGAATACAATTGCAGCACTAAAAGTCCCGAATGCTCCGTTGTTCGGTTCCCGAACGGGTTTGCAGACTTCCAGCCTCAGCGGGGCTTGTAAGACAAAAGTGTCCGCTTTTGGTGTCCTGCCGCTGGGTAGAACAAGCGCTGGCTACCCGGGGAGCTTCCATAACACCGCCATCATGTGGCGGCTAGGTGTAACCGTGACCATCCAGTAATTGTCAATTAAGCTGTGGTTAACCGCAGCTTCAGGGAGGTTAATTGCCGGCACACTCCAGCTCACAGGTGGTCTATTCATTCGTGCGGTTGTTCTACCGAACAACCGGCAGAAAAGCACGAATACAGCTTTTCTGCAGGCGAAACAAAGTCTTTTAACATGGGGCCATAGTCCAAAGGCAGCAGGCGAGCAACCAGGCTTCTCCAATGCAATGTGGTGAGATTGGTCTCGTCACATCCAGTATGTAGGAAGGAGTTTGTATTAGTTAACAAAGTCCTTCTTCTGCGAGACACACTTCTCATGTTACATTTATCTGGATCACTATTTTGTATATTTTTATATGTAATATCTAAAAATGTTTTATTAGTAGGCCATGCTGCAATTGCAAATGTCATCTCTGCAACATTTTCTGAAGTACAGTTCTGAAATTCACAAGGTCTATCTCCAATAGCAATTAAAACATGCATGCATTTGAGTTTTTATACCATTAATTACAATATCTGTATTAT